CGAGGCCCCAGCGGCTTGCCGCTTGGGCCTCGCTTCAAAGCCGGGGGGGGGAGGGAGGGGGGAGATCGAGCAGGGAGGGGTTGAGGAGACGGGGGAGGAACCGGCGGGATGGGGGGGACTTACCTCCTCCTGCTGCTTTCTCCTCTGTCTCCTGTGTGGAGGTCCCTCCCCCCCGCGAGTATCGCGGGTCCCGCCCCCTTGTGTTTATCTAATTCCCTCCTGAAGTCATCCATGCTTGTAGCCGCCACCACCTCCTGTTGGTAGTGACTTTCCTGTTCATTATGTTCCCAGTATCTCGTGTCTCCTAAAAGCAGTGGTTTGTTTATTTAATTGAAATGTGTCTCATGCTTTCCTGTCCCGCACTCAAAGCTGTCTGCATGTATACCGACGGTACTGTAAGAACTCAGACCAGCAGCACAAGCATAAGTTAATTTCGAAATAGCCCTTTTAAATAATTCAAGTCTTGCAGCCTCACCTCTGAAAAAAATCAAAGTGTCCCACATATTCCAAAAGTCTGGGGCTGCTGCTGAAAAAGCCCCAGGAAGAGCTGAAACTACTGTAAATTCACTTGCCACTTGGGACTGTAAGCACCCTCTGTCGTGATCAGCATCATGCTGTCGAGGACTTGCATGATCCCTATATATCGCAAGGCTGATCTAGGCCTCTTTAACATTCATTTAAAAAGTATTTATAGTGTGCCTCCCCTATGGTGCCTTACAATCCAAGGTGATCTGAGATAACTGGCAGCGGGGTTAGGGAGGCCAGAGAAAACAATGTGTGTTATAACTACACTCAGTATTGTTAAACCAGAAGGCCAGAAAACAAACCCAAATTCTAAAATATACTGGGTACAGTCCTGCCAGAGGTTAGATCTCGTTCATTTCAGTGGGAGAGTTAAGCATGTGGTTTGTTCTCCCTTGCTGAAGCCTATGAGATCTTGGAGTATTCAGTTTTGGGTTATGCCCACAATAAAGAGATCAGGTTAATCCAGGTTAATCCAGAAACAGATGTGTTGCTCCTCAATGGATGTGTTCAGACGGCGTGCTGAGAGCGGTTTAAACTGGTCCTGTTCTGATGCGATTATCTTTGATCTGGATAATCGCGATCACACTTACCTCCCTTATCCCGCCTCACTCCACAATCACATCGCTCCCTAGCATCTACATTACTGACGTGTGGAAGCATGTGTCGACGGTTTTTAAATTTTTTTCTCAGTTTGCGCATGCTCATAGGCACTCATCCGTAGAATGGGGGGAAACTATCATGGCACGTGCGCAGAACCACCAGGGCGAATCAATCCAACCCCTCCAACAAAAGACTTCCCTTTAAACTTTTGACCCGAAAATGGCCTCCGTGAGATCCTGAACTCATCTAAATGCTAAAACGAGTGCCCGTTTAAACGTTGGTTTTATAAACACGGAAGTGGAGCTCTGCCTATGCGCACACTGCCAACGCGGGGAAAAAATGACATGCAAAAAGTGGAATCCTTGGGTTTCTGCAGCAGGGAGGAGGTTTAAACCAGAAGTGGCTTGACCGGAGGAGCAATCACACAGGGGGGAAATGTGACTTTAAACGGGAGAACTGAGAAAACACCACTTGGGACCTGGTAACAAAATACTCTGGGTTAAAGGGGGTTTTGAGCCGGAAACCAACAGCTGGGGACGGGAGGCAGAAGTTGACTGTGTGACCGTGCACATAAAATCCATTGTTGAACAGTCACAACACCAGATCAAATGGTGCGTCTGAACGCACCCAGTGTATCTTTCTGTGTTTGATTTTAATGCTGGTAATTCTGGGCTTTCATTCCCACTGCTGCAAATTGAGCCAGTTAAGAACATAAGAGACGCCATGTTGGATCAGGCCAGTGGCCCATCTAGTCCAACAGTCTGTCACACAGTGACCAAAACCAAGGTGCCATCAGAAGTTCCACCGGTGGGACCAGAACTAGTTACAAACTTGGCATTCTCAGTTTTAAA